CTGATTTTTGCAAACCAAAATAGTTCAAATATTTCAGAAAAGCATTTGAACTTTGGAGCATTTCACTGATCCAAACCTCCTTAAGGTTAATACAGGGGTTCTCAAACTTTTGTACTGGTGACCCCTTTCACATAGCAAGCCTTTGAGTGCAACCCCCCCTTATACATTAAAAACACATTTTTATATATTTAACACCATTATAAATGCTGGAGGCAAAGTGGGATTTGGGGTGGAGGCTGACAGCTCGTGACCCCCATGTAATAACCTCACGACCCCGAGGGGTCCTGACCCCCAGTTTGAGAACCCCTGGGTTAATAGTTCATGCCATAATATGGGATGCTTAGCAGTCTCTCTTAGAAAAAAAATCTCCTAGGGAAATACCTATCATGGTAATGATGATAACCTGCCCTCCCCCCCTTTGTATTATATGAACTGTATTTAATCCAGTTTAATCTTACAGTTCTATTTGGGACTATTTTTATAAGTGGGGGAGAAATTTATCACTGGGCAGCACCTCTTTTCACTTCTCATAATCAGTTTTTGCTAGGTTTTAAATTCTAATGGGCTCACATCTTGGATCCATGGAAACTCTTCTGAATTTCGGCCAGGTGCTTCCCGTTCCCTCCTGGACCATCTGCGTATGAGGTGGGTTGGGGTCTGGCTGGTCTTAGAAGTCCAGTTGGCTAGGACAACGGTGACGTCACAAAGACCCCCTGTGACATGACAAATCCACAACCAATCCCCCTACCTGAACGGCGGGAGAGGGGCGGGGATGAGGGAGCATTGAAGCAGAACGTTGGACTTGTCTCAGGGGGACGTGTAAACGGTGCTGGGGATTTGTAACAACCACGCCTCGGCCCGCGGCTCAAGTTCAGCCAGCGACTTGTCACTTATCCCCCGCAACCTCACACCGCGTTAAACGCTATTGGTTTTGACAGCCAGCTCCTAACCATGTTCGAGAAGCCTGATTTCAGTGTTCACAAAATAACACCTGTACACACACACACACACACAGTGTGCGAACACGATATACATATTGCGTTTATTTATAAATATACCGATGTATATAAATATTGGCCATATAAGTATTGTACGTATGTGTTTATGGATGTGTCTGTACCCCGACTACCTGCTGCGTTTCTGTGTGTAAGAGATGTACCGGTTATGCACGTACTTGGCTTCCGTACCATATTATGGGCACATATACTGCTGTGTATAGGCACTTGGGGTATATGCACATCCTGTCTGCTTACACAACGTACATGGTGGTGCGGCTGGGATTTATATACTTTGCACGGAGGAGGGCGCGTGCAGTCCTGGCGCCTCGGCATTGGTTTAAATGAGACCGGCACTCGGATGGGCGCGGCTTCTCAGAGCGCGCGGTCGCATTCGTGGCTTTTTTGAGCCTCTGGCTGTGCCGTACAAGGTGGTTCCTGGGCGGTGCTAGCGGCAGCGCGTGTCCGAGCTCGGAGTCCCGGGACGCGGAGGAGGCCGAGCGCCGCACCCGGGGAGCTACAGCCCCACCGAAGGGGCCACACGCACATAGCCTGGGACCCGCGCGCAGCGAGGAGCCTGCGCACCACCCAGTAGGCTACGCACCACGTGTGTGTGTCACACACCGTACATAGCACGCTGTCTTCCTGGGGAGGAGGGATAGCTCAGTGGTTTGAGCACTGGCCTGCTAAACCCAGGGTTGTGAGTTCAATTCTTGAGGGGGCAATTTAGGGAACTGGGGTAAAAATCTGTCTGGGGATTGGTCCCGCTTTGAGCAGGGGGGTTAGACTAGATGACTTCCTGAGGTCCCTTCCAACCCTGAGATATCTATGATAATGCACTGCCTGTGGTAACACACACAACATGGCCTATCCAGTGTTTGTGTATAACACACGTGTAGTGTATTCACTGTAACATGCACAGACTGCCTAACCTGCATACTATAGTATATACATGAGTGTCCTAAGCATACACTATGTGTATGTATATACATCTAACACACACAGCCCTCACATCAGAAATAGCCAGTGTAAGGTGTAGGTCTAAAAAACTACACATAGAATTTAGTTTATAGCTCATAAACAAAGAGTACATAAGTTATTAACCTATCGAACACATTGTGTATATGACACAGATTGCAGTCCTTGGTACATGGTGTGGAGAACTACAATGAATTACAGGAAGGAGATGATGCGCCGAACAGTCCCAGGACAATTTGATGATGCAGACTCCTCAGACAGGTAAGGAGAAAACAGGCTGCCAAGATTATTTTCAAATCATGTGAAAAGTTAGAGCAGAGTTTGTTTTTCCCCCTCACTGACTGCCTACTTGTATTTTTAAGATAGTGTCGAAGAGTTGGGGCAGTGTTGGTGGGATGGTGGGGAACAAGATTTTTTTTTTTTTTTAATACAATGAGGAACAATCTGTTAATGATATTTCCTCCCCTGCTGTTTTGGCCCCTAAGACTTCTGCATGGGTACAGGGGGCCTCTTGGCAGGGTTGGCACAGTCTTGCGAACATTACTTATGAGGTGTAGTGCTTACTGTTAGGAATAGTCTTGCTGACTTAAGTGGAACCACTCACTTGAACAATTATATGTGTATGTGTTGCAGGATTGGACCCTTGATGATTAAAGATACTTTTTGCCCATCAGGTCCTACTTCACAGCATGGCTGTTGCTTGTTGGTCCTGCAATGACATTGTAATCCAATGTGTTTTACTCCAGATTCTGCTGCCAAGGGAATAATTTTGGCATCAGGCAGTTACTATTGTAAATTAAGTCCAGGAGCAAATATGGACAGGGTGGACTGTGAGGAAAGAGACATTTTGGATGATTATCAAAGGAAAGAAAAATCTATGAAACACACAAAACATGACTAGATTTAAAGGAATGCTGTCAGGTTAGAAATTGTATGTGAGACTATATATAAAGTCTATTTACTTTTTACGCTTTCTGCTTAGACAATAAAAATAGATTGGTTTGTTGCAAATTTGTTTATCGGGAGTTTCCAGGCTGTTTCACTCTGTGATTCTCCTGAATTGTTTCAAAGCATGGAGGAGAATGTTTTTGTTTAAAAATAAAATTGTTTAAATAAAATCATGGAAATATTTCCATTATGTGTAAAATTTGTGAAAGGTTGATTTGAATGGGGAAGAGTTTTTTCTTTTTGTTTTTTGTCTTTGTTTAACAAAACCTGTGTTCAGCACATTTGACATTCCACAGTCAACCTGTAAAACTCCTTGCCAGGGGATGTTTGGAGGACAAAAGTATAACTGGGATCAAATAAGAAATTAGATAAGTTCATGGAGGATAGGTCCATTTATGGCTATTAGCTAAGATGATCAGGAATGCAACCCCATGCTCTGGGTGTCCCTTAGCCTCTCCGTGCCAGAAGCTGGGACTGGACTCAATAATTGTCCTGTTCTGATCACTCTCTCTGAAGCAGCTGGCGCTGGCTACTATTGGAAGACAGGATACTGGGCTAGATGGACCGTTGGCCTGACCCAGTATGGCTGTTCTTATGATCTGGAAGGATCCCCATTCTAAATTGAATAGTAGAGTTGTCAGCAAAGGATGGAGAAGTGCAGTGGGGAAGGGTTGATAAATTCTTAGGGTGAAATTCACCCCTCCTCATCCCGTATTGGGTCCATGTGAGACCTTCTGACCTACTTGAACCCTCAAGATCTACAACTGTGGCATGTGAGAGCACAGCGGATATACACAGAGGCCTCCTCACTCCTTTGCTTATCGTGTAAGAAGGCTCTGAATTTACGTTGATGCAGTGGCTCAAAACCCCAGTGTAGGAGGTGCTGAGGGGCAATGCTAGGTCATAGGCTGGAATAGCAACCGTGGAAGGGCTGTGGTGAATCTGTGACTTTCCTGGATGTTGGAGGCAAAATCCATCTCCCAAATTATCCTTGAACTTCTTCCAAGAACCCATTTCCTCAGATTTTGTGTCGGGGAGGAGTAAATTTCACCTCTATAGCCTATGGTCTCATTTTTCTATTGCACTTGATGAAAAGATCTTCTGGACTGCATATGCTTATGATAAATTGATCTGGAATCTAGAATTGCTATGTCTCAGGCTAAGGTGATATTCAGTTTATTTTTGAGGTGGGAGGGAACCTTACAAATATCTGAGGGTATGTTTATATTGCGATTAAAAACCCTGCAGTGTCGAGTGTCAGCGCGTGGGTCAGCTGACTTGAGCTCGCAAGGCTCATGCTGCGAGGTTAAAAATAGAAGAGTAGACATTTGGGTTCAGGCTGGAGCCCAGGCTCCAGTGTGAGCCCA